AGCCTGGGTTCACCCAGCTCCCAGGTGAGCAGAGAGGGGGTATCGGGCAGGCGGAGCCCCAGCAACAGGCACTTCCTGACATTCTGCGCTTGCGGGAGGGAGAGGCCAGAGTGCCAGCCTCAAGGCAAAGGCCAGAGCAGGTGGGCGGGTGCGGGCGGGCAAGCTGCCCGGCCACCCACAACGGGCCGCCTCCCTGAAACCCGAACCACTTCTGGGAAAACTCAAGGACGCCAGGATTCTCCTTGGTGGCAGCCGGTCCGCTGGAACCATTGATTCTGAACCAAACGCATACTCAAAGATAGGCTCAGTAGAGCAGGAATCGTCTGGGAGAGAATCCAGCTCCCTACCTGACTCCAGAGGGAGAAAGACGAATGGGCACTGGTTAACCCTCACCCCATCTCCTACAACTCTCTACCCCAATAAAAAGCTCGACTACTAGACCACTGGTTCTCAACCTACCTACGGATGATTTTGCCCCTACCACTTATCCATGCCAGGAGGCAGTTTTCACTCACCATGGTTAGATATGAGATACTGGAATTGGGCAGCAGAGGCAACGTACAGGCCAGGCCCTTCACCACCACCATCACCACTCCTCCCCAGAAAAATGGAGAATCCCTGTTCTAGAGAGGCCGGTGCAGTCAGGACTGTCCACCCCACACTGTCTCCTAGGGGGCCTGCGAGTGTTTGCCATACAAGCTCAAGGCCCATCCACATATCCAGCACCCCGTTAAAAAAAAGGCAGGCAGTGTACAAGCATCTGCAGTCCTTGCTTTAAGGGTGAGTTCCGGGGACCAGTGAGGTGTCTCTGCAGTGAAGCCTGCCCACTGCCCAGCCCAGCGACTGGAGGGTGGCTCCTAGGAGCCACTGGAGAACCAGCTCCCACAAGTTGTCCTCTGACCTCCACATTCGCACTGACCTGTGGCACAGGCCCACAAACTAAAACAAAACGCTTTTAAAAGACATAAAAATCGGGGCTGGAGAGATGGCTCAGAGGTTAACAGCACTACAACACTGCCTGTTCTTCCAGAGGTCCTGAGTTCAATTCCCAGCAACCACATGGTGGCTCACAACCATCTTTAGTGAGATCTGGTGCCTTCTTCTGGTGCTCAGGCATATATGCGTGGCTGTATACACAATAAATTAATTAATCTTAAAAAAAAAATAAAAAATAAAAGACATAAAAATCGAGGTGGAGAGTAACTGTGGAAGACGGTTAATGGTGCCCTCCGGCCCTGCATGCACACGTGCACAGGTGTGCTCGCGGGCCCCAGTCCAGCATCAGCACCTGTGAGGGGCTCTGAACTCAGGCCCTGAAACCCTGTGGATCCATCCCACCCGCACTACTGACCTCCCAGGTAGAGAGGCTAAAAAACAGACACTCCGAGACAGATGACTTCCTGAATGGGGAGGAAACCATGGAAACTGAGTGTTAGGCAGAACCACTGAATAGCAGAAGTAAAGGCTAGGACATGTCCGCCGCAGACCAGGACGGGATAAGCAAGGGTACCAAGAGAAGTAACTGTACACAACTTTCTATGGACAGGCTGCCCTCGGGAGCGCTGTCTTCAGAGCAGTCAGGATTTTAGGGAGCCCAGAACAGCAGAACAGCGTGCACATACAATGTGTGCAAGACCCCAGGCGGGCAGGGATTCACGGTTTCTGATTCTCTGAGCAGCATGACAAAAGGCACGGGGGGGGGGGGGGGGTCATCCCCTGAGCTCCCAGCAAGACGGCCTTAGGTAACTGCCTGCCAGGGCCAGTTCAGGGGCTTGGAGGACTCTGGGTGCCAGGAAGAGTGGCAGAGGGCTACAAAGCCCACCTAAATAGGACACAGCCAAGGGTTCTAGATCTTCACGTGTCTGGGAGAGTGTCACAACTGCATGGAAAGTCTGACAGCTGGGGAGGGTACCTACTCCTTCCAAAGAGGCAGGCAGCCTGGAATGACCAGACAGGGCAGAGGGCAGGTGACAGGTGACATCCTCTCTGGGGTGGGACTTCCACGGCTCTGTAGTCCTTGTCCTCTCCCACTACAATGGACCAGAAGACTAAAGGTCACTCTCTCATAAGCACCTCCTCCCACGAGGGAATGGACAAGAAACATCTGAGTCAGTGGTCAGCCTGTGACCCTTCCAGGGCAGGGAGCAGAGAGGTGATAGGATCCTTCTTCCGATGCCCCAGCTCGCCTGCTCCGCCCCACCCTGAAGTCCTCTACTCTGAGTCCCAAGTACAGAAACAGACATCAGAGAATAGAATGTACAGATGTCCTCTGCAATGCACGAGTCAAATGTCGGCCTCCTGAGGACGAAAGGGGCCAGGCTGAGCTAGAAAGACTTCCAGACACGTCACTTCTGCCTTCCTTCTCAACCTGCGTGGTCCAATCTGGCATCGAGAAGCCAGAGAACTTGAACTACAGAGAGAGTCCAGAGCTAGAGAGACTACAGAGGACTTGAAGCTGGAACTGCATGTTTTAACAGTGACTATATGTTGAAATGACCAATCTTTACCTTAATTCCACTAACTATGAAAAAAGAGCAAGTCTCTACCCCCAAATTCATACGGCAAGGCCACAACCACCAATGATGTAATGGTCTTTGGAAGCGGCACCCCAGGAAGCGGTGAAGGTTGGATTAGACCAGGAGGGTGGAACCCCTCACGGCAGGGTTCTAGCTCTTAGGGCAGACATGACCATCCCAGCACCGTGGTCCGGCTTCCAGAACCAAGTGAAAATAAGCACCACTAATCTGTAATCTGTAAACAAACACACACACACACACACACACGGCTATTTTAACTTTATGAGTTATGGCTGCAGTTATGTCTATGGGCCATGAGTATGACTGGTGCTCTTAGAGGCCAGAGGGCATGGGACCCTCCTGGAAGTGGAGTTCCAGGTGATCCTGAGTCACCATCTAGGTGTCAGAACTAGAACCTAGGTCCTCTGCAAGAGCAGCAAGCACTCTTATCCACCCAGCTACCTCCCCGGCCCAAGTACCGCTCGCTACTTGAATCCCTCAGTCCTGTGGTATCGGGGCAGCCAGAACTCACTAAGACACAACTACTTCTTCTGTTTACTAACATGACTACCGGGAATTTTAAAGTTAAATACATCTGTCCACGTTTCTATGTTCCTGTTGGCAGCACCAGTATAGAACTCTTCTTTTTATCACAGGGTTGAGTAATTCTGACGACAGAGCCAGGAACATGAAGAAAAGACCATTTTGAAGCCAGAGGCACAGGAGGACCAGCTCTGCCCAAACCAGGACCTGGGGAATTCTCTAGTTCCACAAAAGACAGAGCAGTGGCCACTCCAATCGGGACAATTTACAAGAGGTGACTCCACTTCCCCGAGGAGAAGTACAGGCTCTGAGTCAGAGCAGATGAGTGTCAAGGCACTCTGCTATGCACTCCCCAAACAGAGCCCAGGGAACCACACTCGCCCCGTCCCAAGGGGGGAGGTAACTGGTGAAGTCAAACCGGGTCAAACCGGGGCCCTGATGCCCAAACTCCGAGTCTGAGGCACACTGCGCCAAGGGCGTACTTTCAACAGGTCTGGACTTGAAGGGGACAAGAAATCCAAGCGGTGAAGAGGCAGCAAGAGGAGCTGCTACGTACCCTTGGATCAGCCCACTGCTGCCCTCTCCACAGCAGGCCAATGCTTCCCATCACTTCCTATCCCTCATTCTTTGGGGAAACATCTCGAGCAATACTTGGGCGAACGGCAGAAAGAAACACAATGATCAACCCGAGCACAGCCTCGCTTCGCGACCATTCCAGGACAGCATCGGAAACCTATCCCCAACAGTGTGTGCTCGGGTAACAAGAATGCGGTCTCTGCCTTCTGGCTCCGCCGCACCCAGATTTGTGCAAAAACTCTCAGGGTCGGAATTGATTGCTAAGCCTCGCTACCTTGCAATAGAAGACAGCAGATTGATCCCAGTGAAGGGTGCAAGGGCCATCTGGGATACCCACCCCCGCAGCAGCAAGGGGGATCCCAGCCCCTCCCCTGCACTGCGGGCCCCGCCCCTCGCGGGTTTCCCAGACTCCGCGCTGCTGCCACCTCGGGCGGCAGGGGACCCGAGCTGCATGTGTAATGGGGGTTGGGAACAAAGACGCGCAGGACCCAGAGCCCCAGCCACCGGGCACCAGCCGTCCCAATCGCCACGATCTTTTCTCTGGAGTCTCAATGCCTGACTGTTCACGTTCTCCAGGACTGCCCCAAGCCCGTCGCGCAGCTCCTAGCAGAGTTGGACAAGCTTCAGCACCACTGGGACGGAGAAATCCGAGCCTGAGCTTTAGGGGAGAAAGCGCTTCCCCAGCACAACTTCGCGCGCACACACCCACACGTCCCAGTCCCCAAGCAGACGCGCACCAGTCACACAAATCTCGCAGCCGCCTGCGGGCTGAGCGCGGGTCACTCACGCCCGCCACGTGCAGGCCGGAGCGATCTGAGACCTGTTGGTTCGCCTCCTCAAGCTCCGGTCCACTCGCAGTATCCCAAAACAAAAGCGGTCCCAGGAGGGCGCATCTGTAGCCCGCTGCGAGGAAAGCCGGAGCAGAGGATCGCGACGCAGAGTGGCGGGACGGAGCGCAGAGGGCTCCGAACGGGCGGTGGGAAGCCGTCCGCTTTGCTCTGCGACACCTATGGCTCTCAGGGGCGCGCAGCCCCATCCCAGCCACCCGCGATTAGATGCCCGCCCAGCCCGACCGCCTTCCCCACGCTCAGGTTTTCCTCGCCCGGTTCCCGGGGTCCCCGAGCCCGAGGAACCTGAACCCCGGCCCTGACGCTCCCAGGTGCCCCCATCACCGAGCGCCTCTGCGAGCCAGAATCGCGCGGCGGATCCGCACCGGCGAGCTTGTCTTTACGATCGCGAGCAAAGCGCCGCGCGCAAGCCCGGTCCCAGGCAGGTGGCGCGGCGCCGAGGCCGCGGGGCCGCCCTTTGTTGGTAAACACCGCGCGCCCGGGGTCCCCGCACCCCCACGCCGCGCCGGGTCCTTACCGGCGCACAGCGATCCCCAGAGAAGGGCGAGGGCCGCCCAGGGCGCCGTCATGATCCGCGGCGCCGCCCCGCGGACACCCGGAGCCGGCGGGCAGGGCCGCGCTGCGCTCCCGGGGCGCGCAGGGCCCGGCGGCGGCTGCGCTCTGCTTCCCGCTCCTTCTCTGGGTCTCGCTTCCAGGCGCGCTCGCTTCTGCGCTTCGGGTCCCAGGCAGCGTGCGGGGACCGGGGCTCAGGGCCGCTGCGGGCGGCGCGCGGTGCGGCCCGGGCTATGGGGCGACGCGGGGGCCGGGGGGCGGCGGCGGGGCGCGGGCCGGGGCGCGCCCGAGGCGGGCATGGCGCAACGGGGCTGGGCCCGGGCCCCGAGCGCGGGGGCCGAGTCCGGAGGGGCCATGAACGGGGGGAGGGGGAGGGGAGCTGAACCGAGTCCAAAATGGCTCCTGAGCGGTGGCCGCGGAGCCGAGCCAGCGGGGAAACCCGGATGTTGGATACAAAGAGGCGGGCGGCTGGGGCGGGGAGGGGGAGGGGAGGCGGGCCCTCCGGCCGCGTGGTCCGCGCCCCCCTCGGGGGCGGGGCCGGACAGGAACAACAACACCGAGGCTCCGCCCCCAGCCCGCGCCCTCGGGAGGGGAGGCGGCGCGCGTGCTGCCCCGGCTCCGGGGCCAGGCTGGGCGAGCGCTCCGAGCTGGTGGCGTTGGACTGGGGCCCACTTGGCTGCGGACCCGGGGCGACCCGCAGCCATCCTACTCGATGCCTGCTCCCAGCTATGGAGCCCACGCTGGGGGATGCGTGCCCTTCTGAGACCCCGGAGTGAGTGGGCAGCCCCTCCGAACCCGGATTCCCATAGCCCGGACACCTCCATCCTCCAGCTCCTGCGCATCTGTTTTGGTGGACGAGTTAACTGGCAGAAAAAAAAATAAGCTGAAGTCTGAACTAACAGCAGTCCCCCCCCCCCCAGGACACACTGACAGCTTTTTCCAAGCAGAGGAGGACCCACGGAGCAGCTGCAGGTGGGGGAAGCTGGGCGACCCGCTTCCAGAAGGGCCCTCAGCAGCCCCACCTCCTTCATCTCCCCCTGGAGGGTTACCTGCTACGGTCCTCCCACACATTTAAAGATCTGTCCAGAACGAGCGTGTCTCTGCTCTTCACGCGCGCGCGCGCGCACACACACACACACATACACACACACACACACACACACACACACACACCACAGCAGGTTCCTCCGTTTCAGATCCCACATTCCTTATTACACAACCAGAGCTACTGAGAAGAACGCGGCTCCCAGGACTGGGAAGGCTAGGCACAGCTCAGGGCTGCCAGAGCAGGAGGACGAAGGTGGCACCCAAGAGCCGGGGTCATTTCAATTGTCTGAGCCTCAGATTCCCCATAGGCAGCGTTAGACTCCTCCGGGGTTTGTTTGTGAATCAGGAATTCCCAGCCTCCAAAGTGGTTGAGACCTCAGGCCTGCTCTGCCCACACCTGCCCACACACATCTGCCCTTTTGTCTTATCCTCTCCTTATGAAACCCCCAGATGACCTCAAGCTCTCCGTCCCTCTCTGATTTTCCTTCCTTATTTATTTTGTTTTGTGTGTTGGCCTGCATGTATGTATGTGTTCATGAATGTGTATGCCCAGTGCTCTAGTAGGTTAGAAGGGGTCAGTTTCCCTGGAACCCGAGTTAGGAGTGGTTGTGAGGTACCTTGTGGGTGGTAGGAACCGAACTTGAGTTCTCTAATAGAAACAGGTGCTCTCAACTGCTGAGTCATCTCTCCAGTCCCATGATTTATTATTATTATTACTATTACTAGTATTAGTGATGGTGCAATTTTGGGACAAGAGTCTCCTGGCTGTCCTGGAACTCGCTACACCAGCCTAACCTCGGACTCACAAAAGTCTGCCTGCCTCTGCCTCCCTAGTGCTGGGATTAAAAGTGTGTATTTATTTTATTTTTAATCATATGTATACATTCATGTGCCCGTGTGTGGGTTTGTCCCAGCAGGCCAGAAGACGGCATAGGATCCCCTGGAGCTGGGGCTAAATGTGCTTCTGAGCTGCCTCCCTCCCATGAGTGCTGGGAACTGAACTCAGGTCTTCTGAAAGAGCCATTAAACTCTGTTAGCAACTGAACAGTTTCTCCAGCCCCAACTTTGTATTTTTCTAAAGAATGGTAGAAACTTACTCAAACGAGCCCAAAATGATAGACTCACCATAGTAGGAAAAGCATTCCCTTTTCCATATTGGAAAAAACAATCATCCGTGTGCCAGAAATTAGACTTGTTAGCTCTATTCTTCTGGTGTGTGTGTGAGAGAGAGACAGAGTTGTTGTTGGGGAGGGGTACTGAACACAGAGTGTCTCATATTAGCCCAGGCTGGCCACCTGTTTAAAACACAGCCAAGACCTGGAACTTGTGACCGTCCTGCCTCTTCTCCACTCCACACGCTGGGGCCAGAGGTTAGCACCACCATGTGATGTGAGGCTCAAACCCAGGGTTTCCTACACTGTCAACTCAGCTGTATGCCAGCTTCTGTTCCACACCGGGTTATATGTCACACAATTCCAAGGGGTCCCAAATGCTGCCCTGGTACTGCCGGAGGATCCAAATCCCTATACTGAGCCAGTAGCCTTACAATTGCCAGTAGCTTCACAATTGCATTGTGACCTAGCCAAAAGAGAACTTTCCTCTATAAACCTGGCCTTCCCCATCCATCCCTGTCTGAACCAATGGTACAATCAGTTGCTCATATCAGAGCATCATTCTGAGTCACCCTTGAATGTCCCATGTCCAATCCGCCAGCCAGCCTTAAAGGTACATCCAACATCCAGCCTTTTTTTTTTTTCTTTCTTTTTCTTTTCTTTTTATTTAATGTTCCCTGCATCACACCGGCCTACATCTCACATTTGGATTTCTTCAACAGCGGTGGATGGAGAGGTGCCATAACTGGTCAGCTGCACCCTTCAAGATGCTACATGTATCTTCTACTTATTTTTAAAACTGTATTTCATTTTACTCCTTTATTTCTTTAGTGTGTGAATGAGAGAGGGAGGGAGGGAGCGAGGGGAGACAGAGAGAGAGAGACAGAGAGAGAGAGAGAGAGCAAGCATGCATTGAGGTCAGATGACAAACGCCGGTGATTCCCCCCTTCCACTGTGGGGGTCCTGGGATTCAAACTCAAATCCTCAGGACTGGCAGCAGGTCTCTGCACCCACTGAGCCGTGTCTCTGGCCTGAGTACACGTTCAAATAGTAACCGAAGTGACCCTTGAAGAGAGGGGACTCTGGGTCTGGAGAGGTGGCTCAGGTTAAAGTCCTTGCTGCTACTGCACAAGACCTGGATTTGGTTCCTGGGTCCCCGACTGGACAACTTATGAATGTCTATAACCCCAACTCCAAGGAATTTGACATCCTCTGCTGACCTTCACAGACACCTGTGTTCATGTGTGCACAAGCATGCACACACACACACACACACACCAGATGCATGCCCAATTAAAATTAATATAAATAAAAAGGTGCTTATAGCACATAGCAATTCCCCTTCATCCGTGATTTCTCTGCTCATTATATCAGCTACCAACAGCCATCCAAAGCCCAAAGTAATAAATATGAATTTTTATAAGTCAGAACTTTCAAACTGTGAACCAGCCTGGGTAGCATACTGACTTCTTGCCACCCTACTCTGACCTGCCCAGGACAGGATTCCTGTGTTTGTCCAGAGTTTCCCGTGTTGTATTTTCTACCCTCCCACTGGTCTCTCCTTTGTAAGATTTATTCTTGTTTATGTGTGCACATGTGTGTGCACACGCCTGCAGAGGCAGGGGAGGAAGGCCTAGAGATAGAGTTACAGGTAGTTGTGAGTCATCCACTGGGAGCACTGGGGAGTGAACTCTGATCTACTGCAAGAGCACCAACCACACAGGCTTTCTCTGTGTAGCCCTGGCTGGCAGTCCTGACACTCGATCTGTAGACCAGGCTGGCCTCAAACTCACAAAGATCCACCTGCCTCTGCCTCCTGAGTGCTGGGATGAAAGGCGAGAGCCACCAACGCCCGGTGCACTAAGCACTCTTAACCACCGTAATGGTGAACCTCCGGTCACCCATTGCTGTATTTATGGCCATCCTGGTTATCAGATCAGCTGTCATGGAATCATGGTGTTTGTTTTCAAAGAACCGGAGTTTCAGTAAGTAATGGTCCCTATTCAGAGAATAATGCTGGCGGGAATGCAAATATGCCAGAGAGAAGGCATGAAACATGCTTCCTTTTCCACACAGTGAACAGTCTCTCCCTTTGTGTTGTTGTTTTTCGATTTGTTTGTTTGTTTGTTTTCTGAGACAGGGTTTCTCTGTGTAGCTGTCCTGGCTGTCCTAGAACCAGGCTGGCCTCGAACTCAGAGATCTACCTGTTTCTGCTTTCAGAGTGCTGGGACTTTAAAAAAAAAAAAAAGTGCCACCTCTTTTAGTTAGGGTTTCTATTGCTGTGAAGAGACACCATGACCACGGCAACCCTCATAAGGAAAACATTTCATTGGGACGGCTCATTTACAATTTTAGAGGTTCAGTCCATTACCATCATGGTGGGATATGGCGTCTTGCAGGCAGACGGTGCTGGAGAAGTAGCTGAGTGTCCTACATCGTGCAGGCAACAGGAAGTGAACTGAGACACTGGGCGGTATCCTGAGCATATGAGACCGCAAAGCCCGCCCCCATAGTGACGCACTTCCTCCTTCCTCCCACAAGGCCACACCTCCTAACAGTACCAGTCCCTGCAAGGTTGTGAGGGCCAGTTACATTCAAAGCACCACATACCTGACCCATTTAATTTTACTCTTTCATTTTTAATCAGTGTTCCATACTACAAGCTATATTTTCACATATTGCTTTATGCCATAGATTTCACTGTTAACCACATTTGGAGGGTTATGGATTTTTTTATTTAAAGATTTATTTATTTGTGGCTGGAGAGATGGCTCAGAGATTAAGAGCACTGTCTGCTCTCCCAGAGGTGCTGTGTTCAGTTCCCAGCAACCACATGGTGGCTCACAACCATGTGTAATGAGGTCTGGTGCCCTCATCTGGCTTACAGGCATACATGCATGGTCAAACACTGTATAATAAATAAATAAATCTTAAAACAAACAAACAAACAAAAACCTCTAGTAATATATATATATATATATGTATGTATATATACATACACTACATACATACATATAATTTGTAGTGCAGTACATGCAGAAGCCAGGAGAGGGCACCAAATCTTCTGACTAGCCTTAGAGCCCATGCTTAGCTGCCCTTCGGTTGCTAGAAATC